CTATAGGGACTGGGACCAACACACTTTACTGGTAGCACCGGATGGTTCCCGGTTCACAGTGAAAACCTATTTCAAAAATAATAAGAATAAAAAATAAAGTTTTTACTAGAAAAAACGAGTCCAAAAGTCAAAGTCAGTCAAAAACCCTAATCCTTGATCTTATTTTTATTTTTTTAAATTTTTATGTCTTTACACAACAAATTTCTTTCCTCATATAAAAAGAGAAAAAAAAGTTGAAACAAACAATAAAAAGAATTCACGTGCATTTAAAATTACAAATTTAGAAACATTTTACCAGTCATTTGATTCGGTGCCTCTTCTCACATAAGGAAAACGAGAAAGTGGGGTAGTGATTTATTGCATTAAGAGAATGGAATTCACAAAAAAATGAGACCAAAAACCAAAAAAGGAAGATACAAACTCTCTATAAATTTTATTTATTGAAAAAAAATCATTTTAAGGCATTCAGGCCAGAAAAGAAACATTCGGGCTTTTTAATTTCCAATCCTTTGATTAAAGTTTATATATAAAATATTTTTACCAAATCTTTTGCTCAATCTATTAGTAAATCCTTTTTACAAAATCTTTACTAAAATTATTTTTTTTACTAATTTTTACTGAATTTTAAAAAGTTATGTTGCTAAATTTCTTTCCTATTAAAATCTCTAAAATAAAATAATATTTCAATGTTCATATTGTGTCGATTTCCTCGATCAATTTTTATTTTATGACAAAAGATTACCACTATGGAAGAGAAAATTCTGTTTTGATCGGACACTATTGGGCGCAAAAAAAAAAGGAAATAAATTTAAGAAAAATGGTTTTTATAAAATTTGCAAAAAAAAGGAATAGTTTTTATGGCTTTTCACAAAAAATTTCCTTTATGAATGGTATGAAAATTTTATTTTATAAAAAAAAAAGTAATTAGTATTTCAATTAATTAATTATTAATTTTTCAATATTTTTCCCTCAAAGAAAGAAATCTCTCTCTTCAAAAAAAACCTATGTCCTACTCTTTTCTATTCATTTTAATTTTCATATATTCTTTGGGTTTCAATCTTTTAGTTTCAAGTTTGTTTCATTATATCTCCCACATAAAGAAAATTGTTGTTTACAACAAAAAGAGGAAAACGTTTGGTGGTAGCGACTGTCCCATTAAAGGGAAAAAGAAATGATTAGTCACTTTTTCCTAAGTTTTCACAATGATTCCCTTACGATTTTTAATAATAAAATAATTTTATTTATGATTTTTCAAAAACATTATTTTTAACAACAAAAAGCCTTATCAAACATAAATATATTTTTTATAATTTTTGCGAATGTATTTTTGATCATTTTTTTGGTATAATTTGACTCGGGAGGATTGGTTTTACTATTTTTGGGGAAATTTATTTGAAATTTATTGTTTATTATTCTTTTGTAAAATCTATGATAAATTATTCGACTTAAATGGATTCTCCTCTCATTGGCAAAATTATTTGGGGAAAAGTTGGGTATGTGGAAATGGCAAAAATGAGGATGAATAAAACTACAAAATTGACTACTCACAAAAAGACGACAAGAATGAGACTGTAAAAAAAGATGAGAAGGATATATGGTACAGGTAGTTAGAAATAGTCTAAAAACCAAAAATAGGAAAAATTAAAATTTCTCTTTATTTAACATAAGCTAAGCTGAATATAAAGGTATCTCATCCTTCTCAGTCAAAACTTTTTAGTTCTCTTAGTCCAATATAAATTTTATTTATTAATAAAGGGAAAGAATAAGGTTTAAAAGATGTATTTTAATGTTGTATTTTTCTTTAGAATTGTTTTAAATCTATGATTAAAGTAATGCCTTAAGGCACCAAAAAAAAAAATACGAGTCAATTATAACTAACACGTGTCATTTAAAAATTATTTTTTTAACTCAAAAATCAATTTTCACATAGATTATTTCTTCACTAAAAAATTAGTCTATTTTTACGAATTATTTAAATTTCTGTTCATTTAATTTAAATTTGTATTTTAGTAGATATTTAGCATCTTTCATAAAGTTAATATATGATATATGAAAAGAATTTATAAATCAAAATTTCATTTGAAAATCAAAAATTCATCAACCTTTGTTTTTAATTCTTTTTTTATATATCTTTTAATTTCCGGTACAAAAAACTTTATTAATAGCTTCCTCATAGAAAGAAAAGTACACTTTGCTAGTTGTTCCCATGTTTATAGAAAATTGTTACAATTAAAAGATATTAGATGGGAAAATATTAATAAAGAAAATGTTATAGGAAACAAAAGATCCCTTGACACTATTAGTTAAAATAAGTTAAAGGCTAAGGATTTAAAATTTTGTTATAAATATATTTTCGATAAACTGTTCTATTTTATTCAAAATCATAAATGTACGAATAACCTATTAAGTAAATTTCAAAAAAAATTTTTTTTTTGTTCAAATCCACAATATATATTTTTTTAATTCTTATACTGTGCCTAATCTTTCAATGTACTGTCAGAAAAATCACTCTTTTTATAAAACATTACTAATAAGGAAGAATTTGTGTTTTGATGTTAGCGGCCATCTGGCGCAAAAAAAAAAGAAATGGCCTTTATAAAATTACAAAAAGGGAATTCATTTTAAGTTTTCAGACAACAATTCCCCTTCACAAACATATTGAAAAAAGGGTTTTTGTAAATTTTTGAATACACCCAAAAAAAATGCGTTTAAATTATTCATCAAATTTATTTATAACTGGTCAGCCACCTGGTTCCCCTTTAAAACATTTCCAGACACATTCTCAAATTCTTTACTATTATTTCATTTTCCCGCAATTTTAACCAGACCTTTTATTATGATTCATTAAAAAAAACATTTCTTTAATATAAAGATAAAAAAAAAGGGGTGGTACATTTTTTTGTGCTTCAAAATTTCCATTCATAGCAACTATGTATAATCATTATCTTTCAAATATGTAATTAAAAGTAAACCTTAGTTAAAAATCAAAGTATAGAAAAAGGGCCTATAATAAACTAAATAGTTCGACTCAATCTCGAACTTGTTATACATGATTACTGTTTTTAGAACTTAACAAGAACTTTTAATTATTACATTTTATATTAAACTTTTACCTCGCTCTTATTAAACTTTTAAAATTAAACTTTCACCTACGTTTACTTTACCTCTGACCAGACCTTTTACTATGATTCACCGAAAAAAGAAATTTAGTGTATATTAGAAAAGAAATCTTTCCTTTTTAGTTTTTACATTTTAGTGTGCTTTAATAATAGCATTCGTAACAACAATTTTTAATCATTGTTTTTAAATTTTTTTAAATATATATATTTTTTTAAATATTTATAAGAAAACCGAGAAAACCTTATGGTCATAAAAGAAATTAAAGTTAAAAGTAATATGAGTTTTTGGAAAAATACTATAAGAGAAAAAAAAAGAATTTTTCAGAAAAGTCCATCAGTCATACCTATAAGTACATATATACAAATTTAAATAAAGAAATATTAAATTTTTTCGTTAAAAATCGTTAAGAAACAGTTATGACCGGGTAAGAAGTTCTAAAAAAAAACATACATACATATTTTAATTTCATAAAAGGTTCACACAAAAATGTATTCATTTCGTGATTGTATTTTATTCTAAATATATCAGTTTCATCATAAATTTTAATTATTCTTCACTGACATTTTAACTATTTGTGCAAAAAGTAAACTGCAAAAAAAGTTATATCAGTTTTTTCGGATCAACGGGAATAACCATTCAATTAATTATAGTGCGTAATATACAAAAAAAATATAATTTTATTCAGAAAATATCCTTTGTTACAAATAGAACTCTTTTAATTTTGAATCTTTTTAATTATTCTGAATTTTGGATTTATTGTTATTGGATGCGCTATAAATAAATAATAACATAGGAAGTAAATCTTTACCTTTCAGGATTATATCATTACTTTTCTGAATTAATCATTATTTTTATGGATCAAACTTTTACCTCGCTCTTACTAGTTTTAAATATTATGTTTTAAAGTTTCATTATGTTTTAAATTTCAAATTTTCATTTTAAAATTTTAACGGGTAATAAATTCGCGAATAACAAAAAATACCAAAGCTTCCAAAAAAGGCATTAATGCGTAAAGAGGTTATTATTAATTGCTTATTCATAAGTCTCAAAATTTCTACATTTCTTAATCTGTAAAAGCCATTTCGAATTTTTTTGGTGTTATTTTGAGAAATTCTGTTCGAATTTCTTAACTTTACAATTACAAATTTTAAATTACTCTAATGTAAATTTAATTCTTTAAATAATTACCTTAATTTTTTAAAGTTATTTTAATTTTTTTAAATGCTTAATTTTTTTAATGCCTAATCCAATCCACAATTACATTCGCGAATATATATGTTAATACCATATTCCCGATACAAAGTCCAACCACAAATCCAATCAGCATGATTAGTATACGTTGAACACAAGAACCAAAGTGAGGGGTTAAAGTTTAATTTACAAAGGCAACCATAAAGTAAGGGGATAGATAATGCGAAGATTAAACTAATAAAAACGGGTGTATGGGAAAAGGGATAAAGTAAAGGTGAAGCAAAGTTAATTACAACAAATAAAAGCATATATTAATATAAAATTCCAAAAGGAGAAGTGACAGGAAATAAAATCGCAGCTTGTGACTAATCTCCGCAAATAAACAAACATGGGAAGATAACAGTTTAATAAATATTATTATATTCATTAGAAAGAATTAATATCATTTTTCAAAATAATACATTTAGGAAAGAAAAGCTTACGACTAATAAATAGCATTAAGAAAAACTTAAAAATTTTCAAAAATCCATCTAATAGATTAAGTATAGCTGGTCTTTTTCTGAATAAAATTCTATTAATTTTATAGAAATAAATATATATAATTTTTACGTAAATAAATTCTCAATTTTAGATTTAATTCTAATTAAAATCAAATTTATTCTATTAACTCCAAACAGTCCTAACATTCAATGGGAGACCCTCCCAATAGTGCAGATATATCAGTATCTGTAACTACAAAAAATTCCTTTTGGAATAAAAATGAAAGTGAGATCGCGCGGCAATCCGATGTAAAGCGCATGTATGATATAACGCACACTCTAGAAGAAGCAATAAACCGAAGTCTAAGACTAGTAAATAGACGCGCGACAAGCAATACCACCGCGATTAACGAAATGGCAGCCGGGGTTAATGCAAACCTTGAGGCAATAAATAATCGCATTGATACGTTATCCCGTAAAGTATCCCAAGTCGAAACCAACTTGGACATGAACTCCACTAATAACACCTTAGAATCAGCTAACCAAACGTTAGCAGATATTCAAACACAGGAAGCAATTGACGATACAATTGGTGGTGAAGCAGATCAAATTAATATGATTAATGTACTTGAAAAGGATGGAATCATGTCCACATACAAAGATGAATCGGTAGTTACTTTTGATACATGGGCACAAAAATTTAAGGACCTGCTTGACTGTGCACCAGCAAATTGGGATGAGGCCACAAAATTACATAGACTTAAATTCCATTTAGAGGGTACAACCAGGTCCATTTTTGATAAACTTAGGCCAAACGAAAAAGATACGGTTTCAAATGCCTTAACTGCTATTAGGTCAAAATTAGCAGCTCCACATAGGTTAGAAATTTCAAAAAGGGAATTAATGATGTGTAAGCAAAGAAATAATGAAACTGTCAAAGAATTCATGACTCGGTTAGTCCCATTAGTACGGGCCACTTTTGAAAATGAAACTGAAGCACAGAAGCAGGCCAAAATTCGCGAAGAATTTTTAGAGAGATTAAGGCCTAATATAAGCTTTCTAATTAGAATAGTAGGATCTGCCAAAGACCTAGATGAGTTATACGCAAAGGCACAAGAAATAGAAGTATTAACCGCGACTAACGAATCGTTTTCACTTGACAACCCGAGGGGTTTAGCTAATTCAATTAACATAATTCAAAACCCTAAACTTCCTGAAACTAATATTAATTCCTGGGTACGAAATCCAAATCAGAATAATCAATATCAATCATCATCAACCAATAATTGGCCACAACGACAATATAACTCAAGTCAATTCAATACTCAGAAGCGAGACAACAACTACAAAAGACAACCTCAAAATAACTGGAACCAAACCAACTTTCAAAGGAGGAACCAATTTCAAAATAGGAACATGAATGATCGTAGATGGAGTGGAAGACCGGTATGTCAACACTGCAGAAAGGTGGGTCATAGCTCTTATAATTGTTTCAGGCGAAATCCACCTACTACAACTCAGACATGGCAAAATAATAGAAATTCTTCATACCCGAACAGACAAAATCAGAACCCGAATAAAATTCCACTCCCAATAAATTATGTGGAACAGAACTACCAACATTATTCACAAGAACCTCAATATATCCCGCAAAGGCAAATTGTGCATGCCTCGGCATACCCGATAATTCAACAAATTCCCAACCCTGCACAACAAAATCTAAACATCTCAGAACTTGCAAACCAATTAGCTAAGCAATTAAGTCTAACTCAAACTAGCAAAAAAGACTCTGTAAATACAATAAGTGAACATCAAGCAATAATAAGTAAAGAAGTAGAAACCGAACATAAAGAACAATTAACAAACTCTAACTCTAAAGATATGAAACCACAAAATAAAGCATTAACGCCAAACGTAACTAACTGGGAAAGAATCTCAATAGGTCCTAGATTAAATCATATCTTCTTTATAGCTTTTATACTTTCAATTATAACAGCTTTAGGCGCAAACAGTCCATTTCCGAAACAACCATTAATATGTCAAACAAGAGAACATGGATTATTATGGTCCCTCCCAGAATTTCCAAAATGTCCTGAAATTAAGAACCAACTTACAAAACCGCCAATTCCTCAGACAAGACAAATTTTTGTACCGAATAACCTTGAATATAAAACCAAAGCATGGGCGTGTAGGAAAATAATTAAATCTATGGTTAAATACACTTCACTGTCCGGGGTTCCAATAGAAAAACCAGGGGAAATAAAACCATTGGAAATCTCACCCGAGGAATGTAAAAGCATGGTCGATCACAAAAAATGCGAATTTGGGATATTTCAGCAAGAAGGGGAATTGTTTCATACTAACAATAAACTAGACCTTACACCTAGGACTTGGCTTTTAGGTTCCTTTACGTGGCAAGAAGTAGTCTCTAAGAATTGTTATATATTTCCTACTCAAGTCCTTTCGCGATTCGGAGAGAAATCAATTCAAACTCCTTTTGGAGTAACCCGGAACTGCCCATATGACATAGGCTCCTGCTCTCTTGATGATGACACTACTATAATATGGGTACCAGCACCAGAAAGGAATTGTGAATTTCTGTCTATAAGCCAACAAAATGGGCAAGTAGTTGATCATTTATGGGTTGCTGAAAATGATCCGATTGCGCTATCTGACACAAAGCCTTTAAAGAAAATAAATGATTGTGATAGGGAAATAACTCTGACTGAGCAAGGTCTCGCTTACAGAGTAATAGGTTCCAGAATTAATCAGGCTCCAATGGGAAAAAGGGTAAAAAGGGCCATTGAGGGATTAGTAACTTCAAGCCAGTTGGCCTCTGAAATGACCTATTTAGAACTTCAAATAAGTAATTCAATGACATTTACATTTTCACACACATTTAATACTATTTGTAATTTAATGGAAGAAACCTGGAAATGGGCCGAACTAGCGATGTTAGCAGACCCAACAACGCTTGCAAGAATTTTATTTAAGGATTCTAACATTCATGCAGAGCGAAGGGGTACAAACTTGATAAAAGTATGGCCATGTATAGTAATTCCACATAATCACTTTCGATTTATCCCAACAGGTTCGCCACACCAATGCTTCGAATATCCACCCGTAAGCTTTTCAACTCATGGATCAGAACAGTCAGCATTCTTCAATCCTCACACAATGCAAATAATTCCAGAAGCAAAGAAATTGAACTGTGGACACGCACGGTCAATAATTGTTCAACTTGATAATGACACGTTTGAACTAGACCAAGTAACTGCCAGACTCAGAAGAATTGAAGCCCGTCCCCAAAGAAGCTTCAACCAAAGATTTGAGGAGCTCCCAAAACTTTCGAGTCACTCTTTTCACCAATTGGTACTGATAAACATCACCGATATTAATCAACATACATACATGAGCAACTTGATAAAGGTGAGTGAAATTTCATACCAAATTACAAGCAAAGACCAAAAAATAGTAACCAAATTTTCTAAACCTTGGGAAACGGCCAGGGATGAAATTAGTCAACAAATATTTGGGGACTGGACTAAAGAATGGCGAATTTTTATAACTATAATAGCTTGTATTTCACTATTGGATTGTGTAATTAGAGTTGCGCTAGTAATAATTGAAAGCTACGCAGGAAATGGGAGACTAGGCAGAATATTATTTGGGACACTAACTCAAAACACGTCAACTGTTAGGAAATTAAAAGCAATAGAAAAGCCAAGGCAGAGTGAACTTGAATTACAAGAAATTACACCTAAAATAGAAAGGTCAAAATTAACTAACTCCATTAGGTACACCCCTATAGCAAAACCACCAAGTAGTAGGGAATCTTCAATAATGCTTTTAACAGTTAATGATCAGTACAGACGTTTACCTATAATTAATGGAAAAATAAATAGCTTACCAATTAAATGTCTTATAGATACAGGCGCAAGTATAACAGTAGCTCCAATAGAGCTTGCAAATATATTAGGTTGCACTCTAACTAGGTCAAGTTCTGAAGCAATAAGCGCATCGGGGCATGCGATTCAAGTAAATTACCAAAGCCAGGTGTCTATAACAATAGCTCAAAAAACAATAGAAATAACAGTAAACTTTATAAGCAGTCAGACCTTCTCAAATAAGACATTTGATATTATTTTGGGATGTGACACACTGGAACATTGGCCCTCGGTCTCAATTGATTTAAAGAATAGGGAAGTACATTTTGGACGTACACAAATAAAAATGTCTGATCATCCGAACAATACGTATTTTAGAATATCATCAGCTAACTCTATTTCCTTAAATCCCAATTCTCAAACAATAATAACAGGAACCATTGAAAATGAAATATCCACTAACTCAACTTACATAATTACTCATCTTGAAGAGAAAATGAGGGAGAAAAATATAGGAATGGTGCCCCTAGTAAATAATTCACAAAATGGCTTAATAAAAATTGTATTAACAAACCCAACACAGAACATAATAAACATTCATAAAAATCAACATATAGCACTCTCATCTCCACTAACTCTTGACTCAGTGAACCCTAATATACTAATAGAGACTGAAACAATAAATAATATATCACATGAAAATACTAAAATAATTGAGGACCCAAAGTTTAAGATAGATTTTACGCAGGCTCAGGTTGATCAAGAAGATTTAAATAAATTAAAAGAGTTATGTGAGGAGTTTCATGATATTTTTAGCAAAAGTCAATATGACTTAGGCTCTTATTCAGATGGTCAATATGACATTATAACCGAGACTGAAAAACCAGTCGCGTCAAAACCGAGACGCACACCTTTCAGATATAAGGAAGAGTTAGAAAAACACATTGACCAGCTGGTAAAAGCCGGTGTTATGGTTGAATCGGACACTCCCTGGCTCACTCCATTTGTAGTAGTTCAAAAGAAGGATGGGAGTATTAGGCCTTGTTTAGACTTTAGGAAATTAAATGAGATAACAGTCCCCGACCACTATCCGTTACCTAGATTGGAAGTAATAATGGAAAAAGTAGGGAACTGTAATTTCTATTCCTCTCTGGACCTTGCTAGTGGCTATTTACAAATAAAATTAACGGATAACGCTTCAAGAAAATGCGGGGTTATAACTGAAGACAAAATATATCAAATGACGCATATGCCATTTGGTTTAAAAAACGCAACTTCCGTCTTTTGTAGAGCTATGACTAATGTCTTATCAGGGTTGGAAGATTCAGTTATATCATATGTAGATGACATACTAATCTTCACTAAGTCCCCAGATTTCTCCGAACACATCGATGTTCTTAGAAAAGTCTTTGAACGATTTAGACACTTCAATTTAAAACTAAAGCCGCAAAAATGTATATTTGGGTCTAATAAAATGCACTTTCTGGGGCACATTCTAGACGCAAATGGTTACAAACCCAGCCTAAGCAGAATCGAAATAATCAAAAATCTAGCCCCTCCTGAAAATGTAAAAGGGATTAAAAGAATAGTGGGAATGGCCTCCTTTTACCGTAGGCATATTCATGACTTCTCCACAATTGTTGAACCATTGACAAGACTTACAAAAAAAGATACACCTTTCGTATGGGGAAGCGAGCAACAAAACGCACTTGATAAAATAAAAGAATTGCTTGCGCAGGAACCGTCGCTAATCTTCCCGGACTATTCGAAACCGTTCCACATATTCACAGACGCATCGACGGTAGGGCAAGCCGGGGTATTAATGCAGAAAAATGAAAATACTGGGACATATTCAGCCATCTCATATTGCAGTCGCACTTTAGCCCAATCAGAACGAAAGTGGCCTCCAGTTCAAATTGAACTAGGAGCCATAATTTTTGCCCTTAGGGAATTTAAACCTTATATTTTTATGTCCGATGTCGAACTACACACAGACCACAAACCCCTAGCTTATTTATTAAAGAAAGCTGAGGCGCACCCACACCTCGCTAGATGGCTGATAGAACTACAATCTTATCAAATAAAAATAGTACATATAGCGGGAAAACAAAACTCGTTAGCAGACGCACTATCTAGGAGTCATGAAGAAGCACCTGAAAAGGTTGGAAACCTAAAAGAGTTGGAAGACATCGCAGAATTCCCAGTCTGCTTAGCGATAAAACCTAGTAGTAGATTAACAACAGATGAAATTATTAATTCAGTAATTCTAAGAGACAATAAAGGACAATCATTTACAGTAGATATTAAAACAGAACAAAGGGAAGATCCTGAGGCAAACGCATATATAGACTTTCTAGAAAATGGTAGTACCCCAGAAGGATTCACAGAAGCAGAAATTGCTAGCTTTGTTAACAGAGCTTCAACACTCTGTTTAGATTCAGACATTCTTTACTACAAACCTTCTGGTTTTAAAATGAGACTTTACATTCCAGTTTCCCTTAGAACACTTATATTTGAATCCTTTCACAATTCACCTCTGGGAGGGGGGCATCTTTCTGTTAAGAAAACAATAAGAAAATGTCAGAAATATTTTTGGCCAATGATGTATACTGATATAAATGAGTGGACAAAACAATGTATTACTTGTCAATTAAGACACTCTCCTACCCCAGCTTATAGGGCTGAAATGGCAACGGCACCTTCAAATACATTATTTGCAAAAGTAGGGCTAGACTTGGCCGGACCATTCCCAGTCACAGAAAAAGGTAATAAATATATATTAAATATAATATGCTGGTTTACAAAGTACATAATATCTGTCCCTGTACCAGACACAAAATCCCAGACAATAGCCAAGGCATTTTTGAATGAATGTTATCTTAAGTTTGGGGGATGTACTGAACTAATATCTGACAATGCAACGACCTTTACCTCAGAATTCTTTAAGGAATTCTGTCACATGCTTTATATAAACAAAAAATATGCAATTCCAAACTGGTCCCAAGGTAATGCCATAACAGAACGAACGTTTAGAACATTTAATAACATACTCTCTAAATACATAACTAAAAATCAGCCTAATTTTGATGAATTTTTGAACTTTACTAATTTCTGCTATAACACTGCGGTACATAACACAACAAATGAAACTCCGTTTTATTTAATGTTTGGGAGAGACCCGATTTTTTGCATTGACCAAATATTAGATCCAAGAGTCCGCGACCCAATAGCCTTTAATGACACTGCAGAATTCAAGCAATTGCTTGTTACCTCACTCAGGGTAGCCTGGGAATCAGCAGCAGAAGCCCATAAGGAAGCTCAAATAAAAATGAAAGAGCAATATGATAAACATACAAGGGTTTCGACAATTGAAATAGGGGATAGGGTGTTAATCCGCAACTACGCAGGAAAGCCCGGAACTTCGAAGAAGTTCCACCTCCCTTGGAAAGGCATATATCGAGTAATAAATATAGAGGGGATATACGTCACAATAACTAGTTGTAATTCGCCACAGGCTAACCCAAGGAAGGTACATATAAATCAGATTAAAAAATGTTTTGAATATCTGGGTCCAGTTTGTACAATTCCAGGGTTATCACAAGAGGAAAAAATTTCTTTAAAAAGTGCAGAAGCTATAGAAATTGAACATACCCCGGGATTTGATCACAACATAAACACTGATTCCATCCAAAATACTAATCATGCTGATAATAAGAGTCGAAACAATACCGAGTGTCAAGAAAACCCAAACACTCACAGATACAATCTAAGGCCTAGAAATCCGTAAATATACCATCATTTTATCGCGAATTATCTCAATATAATTTTAACTAAAATTTTATCTCAATTTCAGATATAATAAAAAAAAAAAAATCTATTATTAATTCTTTATTAAAAAAAAATGTTTTCAAATAATTATGAATTAAATGCCTTCTGGCATAATAATGAGAGTGAGTGGAAGAACGAGCTTCCAGTGGTTACGTTGAAAATGGGAGGTAAAGCTTTTCCTTTCTTAGGGCAGCTCCACCCGTTGTCGAACTTTTTCTATGCTCCACTGGTATGGAAAAACTTATCATTTGATTGTGTAGAGCAGGCGTATGTGTGGGAAAAAGCAAACTTATTCGGGGATATGGTGAATGCTAACAAGGTAAAATCGTTAAAACATTTGGGTGGGGGGTGTAACAATAAAATGCCTTTTGGCATAAAAAAGAAAGTTCATCCAAGGAATTATAAATGGATTGGTAAAGAAATAAGGGGGGATTTGAAAATACAGAAAGAGTGGTCCAAGGTAAAAGAGACGCTTATTGAGGAGATAGCGTTCGAAAAGTATAACCAGAATGCGGAACTGAAGCGTCTCCTCTTGAGTACAGGTGAAGGTTGGATATTAGAGGCTAATCCAAGAGATAGTGAGTGGGGAGTTGGATATGGTATGAATGATCCTATTCTGGAGCAGTTCACGCCTGAATCGGAGAAATTCGGTACAAATAAAATGGGTAAAATATTAATGAAAATCCGAGCAAGGTTGAGTCAGGTAGAACTCCCAGAGTGTGAGGATATGGACATAGAGTCAGTGTCTTCTGACACAGAAATTAGTGTAATTGAAGTGCCTTCTGGCATAAACATAAGAGTCGAAAATAAAGTGCCTTCTGGCACAAAATTGAAAAATATTTTACAGTCGTCGGGTCGTGAAGGGGAATCTTCAGGGGGCTCAGAATGGGCTAATAAAGATAGTGGTTGGGATCAACCTTCTAGCTCTCAACAGTCCGAGCGAATAAATCCTGAAGACCTCCCAGATGAGGCAAGAATTACTTCTTCAACACCAGAACCGGCTCGTGACGATGAAGCTGTATTAGGTAAAGGTCCATTAAGGTACATGATCGCCAGAGCCAAAGATGGAGAGTTGATTGGTGCGAGAATATCAGGAAAAGGTCCGTTCTTCACAAAAATTCCTGAAAATTTGGTGGAAGGGGGACACCGAAAATTACAGTTGGGGGATCTTGTTGAGGTAGGTGAATGGGAGGACAGAGAGGGGTATGAAGTTTTAGGTAAATTGGCGGCAAATGGACCGAATGACCCTGCTGCCCAAGGGCGTTACCCTCCGTGGTTATTTTCAGGAACAATAAACTATCAGGCTACCGCGACTTCGGCAACTGTTGAATTGGTCAGAGAAGCCCCAAATTGGTTGCCAGCCTTAGTAGTCTCTGTAAACATTAACAGAGCAAGAGGTACCTTTAAATCGGCGGAGCTAATGGCACCGGATATGCTTCGTAGTCAGGTAATTAATTCCAGACAACTCACAAATATTCACCATGAAGACCTGAGAACCGGTCACTTCATCGAGGTAAATTTGTGTGCAATTAATTCCCCGCAGATATGGAGAATGGGTTCCTCATATATTCTACCTGAGAAAACTCCATTCCGTGTCGGTGATGAAGTATGGGCGCACCAGAACTGGATTATTATCGGAGCTAGGCCATTGTCAGAACAGATTTCTTATCCACTCCGAGCAAACTTTTCGTCGTCTAGGGTAGGTTTAACATTAGCAGCAATGTCAGCTGTTGTAGCACACCAGCGAGATGTTGAAGAGCGTCGTTTAATCAAACATTCAGTCACGTCTATCCTGTACTGGTTAGAAGATGACAAAGCCAAAAAGAAGACCGTTGACAAGACCCTATTGTTGAGATTCTTTATCCACACAAAAGACCTTAAAGAGCTTCAAGGTTATTGGAAAACTTACGAAGAAGATTCTAACGTACACATAAAAAGACCTGATCATGATACTAAAGTTTGCGGATATGGCGAAATAAGACAGGCCAGGAAAAATATAACTCGTGATGGCTATAACATGGAAATAGTCATGGCGGCCCGCTTTCAAGACGCAAAAAATTACGAACGGGGGTTTGACGATTGGCATGACTTAGTAACCAGTGAATGGGAGGCACGAATAATACCGATTTCGAACACAAAAATGTTACATCGAAGGGAACTGACTCTCATGGACGGACTGCCCTGGTCGTTTGCCCAATCTGATCATCCCATTGCCCCAATTGCAAGTGCTCTCTTAGGTCGTGAACGCAGGGAACCGCCACCACCTCAACACATTGGAGGCATTGTAGATGAACACCCGGCCCTTCAAACATTAAATGAGCAACAGCTCTTAACTGTTGCGATGTTCCTGGATAACCGACCCAGAGTAATATTTAATCAAGCCCCGCCAGGAACGGGTAAGACCTGGGTATCGGGGGCGGCAATAGCGGCGACACTCCAACGGGACCCGAAAGCAGTCATATTGGCCACAGCACCTATAAATGTAGCTGTTTGTGAACTTGCCGAAGACACGGATAAGGCAATGAGAATGGCTGGCCAACAAGTTCCCATGTTGGCCATCTTCTCAGGTAATGGAAAGGCCCGATACATGGAAAGAATCAGACAGGTGGGTGAACATTTAGTTGTTCATAGAGTGAAGGATGAAGACATTCGGGAGGAGTTGATGAAGAAAAGCGGTAAATTAATTCAGAAATATGAAAGAGATTGGGAAAGAGCGCCAAGAAGGGCTCAAGAGCGAGCAGCCTCATTTGAGGTAAGCCAGCTTAAAAAGTTTAGGGTGTTTTTCATGACCATGGCTTTGGCAGAAGAATTCCAGTCATTTCTAGACGCAAGCATGGCAAGCCCGCGTGAGAACAAGTCTGTAATAACACCCACCATAACGCATATGGTGGTGGATGAAGTTGGACAGTGCCAGCACAACGCCATTCTTTCCACTATCTGCCAGTACAGGAATCTTCGCAAACTTTTGCTTACCGGCGACTACCTGCAGTTACAGGTTTATACCCCAAGTCAGCCACAAGTAGTAAGGAATAAGTGGGCCATGAACTCAATAATTGGAATCGTGCAGGACTACGCAGGTATTAGTAATAATAGACTCGTAGTATCTTTCAGGTCACATCCCAGTATTGTTCGATGCCTAGAAGCCAGTGTCTATAGACCGGCTGGTGAACAATTCCGCGCGGGACTTACAGAAGCGCAGAGGAATTTACTCACAGACGAAATTGGTATAAACCTTCCTGTTCAGACCTGTCCCATTGTACTCATACATCAAAACACCATGACCATGCAGGATGCGACTTCGTTCTCTTTAACAAATCCTGGGCACACTGAAACGGCCATGGCCTTAATCGACATATTAAGCCAGCCACTACTCGCCAGGCGTAAATTAATCTTAGTAATTTGCTTCTATATGGCTCAAATGGATGTGATAAAAGAACAAGTGGAGGCAAGGCAAGTCAGGAATGTAAGCTGCTCTACAGTAGACAGCATACAAAGTCAGGAGGCGGATATAGTATTGCTTATCACAACAAAGACTCGAACTGGTAGCGCCAAAAAAGTTGAGGAAGAAACGGCAACATTCTGGACTGATCCTCAACGCTCAAATGTTGCGTTATCCAGGGCAAGGTTTGGATTATTCATTATAGGTGATCTCACGATTCTGTGCAAACATGGAGCTGTCTGGTCGCGTTTCATTCATGAAGCTAGAAGCCAAACAGTTGTTGTCACGCCGGAATACGTAAGATTAATGCTAAGTGGAAATACTCAGAGGGTAGATGGGGTTTTAACAGATTTTCAGGGCAGGATGCCAGTAGCTGAAGACCATTATGCAGAGGTAAAACACCCAGAAGGGGTCGATTTCTTGGACACAGCGATGAGAGGGTACGAGGCAAGTATGGAGGTAACGGTACCACCCCAGCCTTCTCCCCTAAAAGGGGTAGAGGCCCTTCAGATCTCATCACCCAATTTTCAGGCTGGCCCTTCTGGAATCTCTGGTCCTTCTGGACCCGTAGGAAATGCACCAACACAAATGCCTTCTGGCACCTCGGCACCATTCATTCCTCAATATGTCCAACCTCAATTTGGAATGGCACCAGCGATTCAAAAGCTCCCTGGTCCATCTCATTTGCAGGGAGGTTTTCAAAATATATATGAGGGGAGGTGGGAAGGTCAACCGGTAGTAAGTCACCCACATCTAATCCAATACACTCCCATTCAATCTCAGATATGCCGTGGATGTACGAGCACAGTGCCTGGGCAGCACGCTGTCACATGCCAATTTGAATTGTGCCCAATGTGCCCAACAACTGAACCACACATCCGAGCGAACTGTCCAAAGCGGCCTTGTGAGTTTTGTTACACGTTGGGACATAAATTTGAAGAGTGCCCGAAGCGAATGGAAAGTTGAAGAAAATAAATAAAATATTTTTTTAATTTTTAAAATTTTTTTCCACATAATGTATATACCCCAAGAGTAACGAGAGCGAAAAATTAGTAGGACTAAGAAAAATTCTACAAACGCGCGTGCGCTGCAAAAAAAAAAAAAATTTTTTTTTGGGTGTAAAATAATGGCTTCCCGAACCCCTAAAAAAAATTGTAAATATTAATTGTGATATAATTTCCCTATAAAAATGAAAAGAAGAAAAAGAACTGAAGTCTAAAAGAAGCCTAAAGAAGTCTAATCACAAAGAAAAATAAAAATGAAAAACAACAAAATCTGAAAACAACAGCAAAACACTAAAAGAAAATGAATTATCAAAAATAGTCATCGTTAGAAAAAAAACATTATATTTCGGTGGAAGATCTCTAGAATAGAGAACCGAACTTCGTTAAATCGTCACAGGATTCATCAAAATTAAAAGTAATCAACATGACAAATTATTCAAAAGCAAATCTTCAAAAAACATCATTGGACAACAGACCGAGGACGGTCTACATATAGGAAAGAGGCAGCTGTAGCACAAAAAGATGAAAATATTCAAATCCCGTCCTTTCGCAAGAAAAATTGTTTTATGTTATAACAATATTGAAAAAGGGTTGTAGGTTTCACTAAATTCTTTGATTAACTGAAACTGAACCAACAACCCTATCAGTGATTTGAAAATAACCCCAAATGTTACACTCTCGTATCCAAAAAAATAAGGAAAAAAATAATAAGTGCCCAAGAAAAGATGTTCCAAAAAAAAAAAGGAACCACAAAAAGAAGGCATATAATAGGACAAGAGAGAGTGAAGGGAAGCCATTAAACTTAAAAATTAGATCGAGGACGATCTACTGTTAGGGTAAAGTTGTAAGGCGGAGACTTAAATTGCAAATCCTAAAATGTAAAAGTCCCCGCCTATCAATTTATCCTAGCATAAAAGCAAGCGATAAACACTTATAGTCAATTCAGTTGAGATTCACTTGGGGTTCAGTCAGCATTCACTTAAGGCTTTAAATCAGCGAGCAAGCGTAGTCCTCTCTTTAGTGTAAACAAAGCTATTTAATCTTCAATGTAATCTTACAATAAATAAAATGAAAAGGAAAATAAAAGCGCTTATAATATAAGTCCCTGGATATCTAATATGCTCTCGTTACTTATTATGTTATTATTAATCGAAATGTATTTTGCCTTTATTATCATATTTGTCGCGCTTATCTTACATTTTATATTATTCAATAAAAATTCATATTTCTCTTCTAAGGTCCTTCTGGACCACAAATGAGAGTTTGAGAAAGAGAGTGAAGAGAGCGATATCGTAGACTCGAAAAGGATAGAAAAAGAATACACCACTGCGCTTGAGAAGGGACACCTCTATAGGGACTGGGACCAACACACTTTACTCCATATAGGATATTTTCTGATAAAGGCAAAGAGTTTAAGAACAAATTAATTGATGAATACTTTGAACAAGAAGATATCCATAAATTAGAAGCAACCCATTCAACAGTAAAAGCCTCACTTGCCGAACGTGCCATTCGGAATTTAAAACAAAGACTTTATCGCTATTTTTCAAAAATAAATCATTGAATTGGATTGATGTATTAGTACAAATTATTGACGGAATTAACCATTCAATATGTAGAGTTCATGGAATGCGCCCAATTGATATTAATTTTGAAAACGCTCAAAAAGTTTGGAAAAAAATATATGGGAATGCTCTTTCTACAAAATCTGTTAATAAAAATTATAAGAAATTTAAGGAAGGAGATTATGTTAGAAAGAGTTTTGAGAAAGGCCAGTTCGAAAAAGGATATATTCCTAATTGGGGAGATGAAATTGTGCAAGTTGATAAAATTATAGGCCATTCAAAACCAATAATTTACAAATTAAAAAATAATTTGGGTAATAGAATCAAAGGATCATTTTACAAAGAACAATTAGCTAGAGTTAGAAAGGATGCAGAAACTGAGTATCGAATTGAAAAGATTTATCGTAAACGAACTAGAGATGATGGAACTAAGGAAGTGCTTGTAAAATTTATAGGATATCCGATACGAGAATGGATACCTGAAACAGAGTTAGTATAAATAGTGTTAACTTTTTTTTATTGTATCATTTTTATTCAAAAATAAAATGTCAAATTCTTTTTTTGTATTTTTACCTAGTAACGTTTCAGATTATCCTGAAAATCAGCCAAATAGTTTTCGTGTCCATTTACCTAAATCGATTTTCTTTAATGGCGATTGGGTTTGTGGACTACATAGTATTTCCTATCCTTATTCTTGGCCATCTACAATTGGAACATTAGATGATCAATGGATAAAAATTCATATAATAGATTCAGATATAAATAAACATGTTTTAAAAATTCCTGTACCCAAAGCTTCACATAATACTACAGAAGCATTACGAGATTTTCTTAATGCGAACTTGGAACAACAAAGTAAAGAACCTGATTTGATCTTTGCGCCAAAGGGTTTAGGAAAAGAAAATATCCAGTCTCCCCCAAGAAAAAATAGGAAAGAAAGAGATGTAGAGCTTAAATCACCGCCTTTATATTTTCCAGGTGAAAATTGTGAACCAGTTTCACTACCAAAAATATCTCCTGAAAAATCACCACTTCGAAGTTTATCTCCAAAGTTAGAAAAGGTAAATGAGGAGTTGATTTTTGCTTCGAAAGGTTATATTCAGTCTCCTCCGAGAAACAATAGGAAAAAAAGAGATACAGTGCTTAAATCACTGCCTTTATATTTTCGAACTGAAAATGAAAATGTTGAACCAGTTTCTTCATCACCACCACTGGTAAAATCTTCCGAAAAATCTTCACCTCGAGTTTTATCACCAATAGTAAAAACTATAAATGAGGAGAAAACTCTTTTACCAAAACCTTCTGAAAAATTGCCCCCTCAACCACTGCCTCCTCGGGTAGAAACGTTAAAGGATAATCCAATTCTCTCACTAAAATCTAATGAACAATCACCTCCTCGTGTTTTGACACCTGTAAAAGCTTTAACACCACCACCACCGGATCAAATAGTATTAGACCAAGACTCACCTATAAGAAAGAAAAAGAAAATTGATACCGTCCTCGCCAACTTTCGTCGGACCCTTTAGAAAAAGAAGAAACAAATATTTCCTTTGAATTATTTAAAGATATTACATGGACTGAAAAGATGGAAAAGGTCCTAACATTTATTTTAGGACATACACCTACACCTAATGAACGTCAAAAATACAGTTCAAATATGCCGAAACTTATTTCTACATATGAAAAATCAAATCCCAATCAAATTGATTTAACAATTCAAGAACAAGTTATTAAATCTATCAAATTTCAATATAACTCAAATTTTGGACGATTTAAAATTGTTTTTGATCATCCTAGCATAAATTATATCTCATTATCTCCGCAGCTCGGATATGTACTAGGATTTGAGAACCCTCATTTTGTACAAAATAATGAAATTGCCAAGTATGGATGTGATTTAAAGGGAGGATTTTCAAGTTTTGCAGTTTATGCTAAAGGGTTGACTGAAAATATGATAATTGGTAATTCATTAAGTTCGCTTCTTCGTGTCGTCTCAGTTTCAGGAGCAACGCCTGGGGAATATAATGAAAAGATTTATGACACTCCTATCTACGCTCGTGTTCTTCCTAGAGAGATCAATGAAATAGAAATTGAGTTAAGAACATTAGATAACGGACGTCTTGTACCTTTTTCATATGGAATAGTTTTAGTTGTTTTGATTTTTAAAAAAGTTTTAAAATTTTGATCAATATAAAACCACATTTTATTTTTAAATCATTTCATTTTAAATAAATTTTTAAAAAATAATGGTTCATATTTTATTTGATACTACAAAAGTTGGCTATGATGATTTTATCCAGACGGGTACCGGAATTGAATCGGAAAATACTTATAATTTTTATAGAGGCCTAGCGCCTTTTCAAAGAGGATATGGATTACAAACAGGGGCTGGAATAGGCGATATCCTCCGTGGACTTTGGCGCTTTTTTCTTCCCATAGCCCGACGTGTTGGGACAACAGTTACATCTGAAGCGTTAAATACAGGCCAAAGGATACTTGAACGTGTAAATGAAGGAGAACCAATTAAAAGTGCACTAAAAAGTGAAGGAAAAAAGGGTATAGACTTGTTATTGGAGAAAGGGGGAATGTCAAAACAGTTTGGTTCCGGGACCAAACGTATAAAAGGAAAACGAAAATCGTCATTTTCTTCACATCAAACATTAATTGGTAAACCATTTAAAAAGAAACTTAGATCAGACGCATTTGGACTTTATTAATAAAAAATGGCTTTTCACAAAATTGATGGCGATAGTATTAATTCAATCACAAATGCGATAGACTTTTTCCAAGTTCCCCCAACAAATGTTAGCATATCCTCAACTAAGGTTTTTGAAATTCTACCTAGTAACCCTCTTACAGACACACCATTAAAATTCACTCAAGCAATAATTACATCGATCTTACGAAATGTTATCTATTAACCGAGTTTAGAATCCGGAAAGAAAATGAGCATGGATTATACATAAATTTACATCCAACGGATAATGTATCACCTATACAAATGATCGGTCATACTTTTATGAATAATATGAGAATTACTATAAATGGCCGTGAAGTTTTTAATTCGAACTCTTTAATGGCATATAAATCCTACTTTTCTCATGAATTAACCTTTCCTATGCATGCAAAAAATTCACATTTATCAGTTTCTGGTTATTATGGTGACAATGGATTGAGTTTAGAGTCTGGACCAGGATATGATTCAAGAAGAGTTAGGTTTTCTGAAAGTAAAACAGCGCAATTTATGGCAAAGATTGATGCAGATTTATTTAACCAGCCCCTTTACTTGATAAATCAATGTGAAGTTGATATAGAAATTTTGCCTAATGATTCCCGATTTTTACTTATCACACCACCACAACAACAGGCTACTCGATATAAATTTGAGGTACTAAATTGCAAACTTTATGTAAAAAAAGTCGATTTAATGGATGGGCTTGCACTTGATATTGCTCGTAAATTGGAAATGAAACCAGCCCGTTATGCATTAAGAAAATCACTTATGAAATCACTCTTTATTAGTCAAGGACGTTATGAATTTAATGCTAATCTTTTTATGGATCAAGTTCCCAGAAGAATTATACTTGGACTGTTTGCTAATAGTGATTATGTAGGAAATATAACAAGAAGCCCTTTTAATTTTCAACATTTTCATGTTCGAGAAATAAGTATTGTAGCAAACGGTAGATCATATCCCCAGGCAGCTTATGACCTTGATTTTCCTCTTGGAAAATTTGCACGCCCTTTTAATGATATGAATGAAGCAATTGGATTTTCAAACACTATGGAGAGTAATGGTATTACTTTCGAACAATACGCTTATGCGCATTGTATCTATGTTTTTAACTTAACAAATAGTGGAGATGATCAAAGCGGGCTTTTTGATCTTATTAAAAATGGTACAACGGCTGTAAATATTAAATTTAGTAGCCCGGTTCCCGATGGAGGTATTATGTTGATTGTGATGGGAGAAGCGGATTCATTAATTATGTTAGATAGGAATAGGACAATTACTAGTGATACTACAATCTAATTATTATATTCATTCATTTATATATTTTCATTTTAAAATGCATAAATATTTTTTCTTAATTTTCCTTCTTTTTAATTATTATTTTTATATTAAAGCTTATGTTGAATTACCAGAATATTCAGAGTATTTGAGGAATTTATCTCACCCTAAATTGATGGCTAATCAGCCTCAATTTCCTAGTATTCAATTATGTAAAGAAACTCCACAAAACTTCGCCTCATCGATATATTGCTGGATCATTCTTATTCTTTATACATTAATAGTACTTAGTTTAATTGTTTATCAAATTAGATCAATTTTTTGGTTTAAAAATAAATTTCCACAAAGTCGACGAAACACGAAAGAAGAATTAAATTTGAATGAATTCAAAACAAATAAATCAAATTTTGAATACAAATTATCAAACAAAGAGAACATTTAAAGGGTGTCTTCCTTGTGATCTTTTACCGAAAGCAGATGATATAAAATATCCTGCGTCATTTGTTGTAAACTTAGACTCGCACGAACTAAAGGGATCACATTGGATAGGATTATACAATGAAAATAGATATCATCCTGTAATTTATTATGATAGTCTTGCTTTACCTATGAGTAATTGTATTCTAAATTCATTTCTTAAAAACTTTCGAAAAACAATTAAAAATTTGAGACCCTATCAATCACCTTTAAGCAAAACTTGTGCATTACATACCATATGTTTTATCTATTATCTTTCTACAGGAATAAAATTTGACCAATTTTTAAGAATAATGGATTTAATTAATGACAATGATTTATTCGTTCAAAAATTTGTAAAAGTTTTAATTAAAAACTGAAATTTAACATAAATTCGTAACAAATTATTTAAATTTTTTTTGGTTATCTCTTTGATATCATTTTATTTTGAAATTTTGGTTTTTATAAAAAAATAATAATAAATAATTAGTAAGGTAAAAGTTTTTTTTGTGTTGGGTTTTTTTTTTGACTAAAGATTATTTTATAACAACAGTTGTCGCATTTCATAAACTAAAAGTAAAAAATTATTATTGAGTCAAAAGCTTGTAGACATTTCTTAATTAAAGATTATTTAATAAAAACAAAAGTAACAAACAGTATAAAATATTTCTTCGGTATCTCGTAAATCATTTTATAAAAAGACCAAAAATTAGAAAATATAAAATTTGTTAAATATTTATTTCATCAGTATTTCTTAAAATTCAAACAAAAAACATCGATAATTTATTTATAAAAATAATAAAAATGGAAGCCGTTCCTTGCAAAAAACCTAGATTCTTTATTGAAAATTTAATTCCCGAATCATTTCATCAAGTTGGAGCAGGAAATATAAATTTAAATAATTTTGTATCGAAACTTGAAAATGCCGTTGAGAATAATAAAAAATTCAAATACATAAAAATCAAGTCAAAGTTTTCAATAAAAAATCTACCAGTTGACCCTGAAGATCTGCTTGCAAAGCTTTTTCAATATTGTATAGATGAGTCAATTGATTATAGTAAGGAAAATGGAATTAACCCTGATCACCTTGGCTGTCTGATCACCAGTGAACTTTTAGAATCGGACATCTGGGTTCCGATTCGTGAAATATCATCGAACACAGTCGATACAATTTTGAACAGCTTTTTGAAAGTTGCACAAAGTAAGAAGCAAAATGATGTAACTCTATGGGGAAATCCTTTTAATGTAATTGTAACAACGGCTGATAGGAAAAGCCTTCCCGATAAAAGAAATATTATAGGTGGTGCTCCTCCAAGAAGACTTGCCCCTATTCATCACCAGATTAAAGATCGAAGTCTGATACGAATAATGAATCCTGATAATCACTGTCTTTTCTATGCTCTTCAAGCAACAGTTGTTTATTCGACTCGAGGATATACTCGTTCACAATTTTATGATTTTTTGTATGGAAGACGTGCTTCACGTGGAAAACTTCAAAATGAAGCCCATGAATTAATGAAGAAAGTAAATGCCCCCTTAGGATTAAATGGGTATGAAGCAGATACATGGGTCCCTCTAGTAATTGAATATTGGAATAATGCTTTGTTTGTTGGAAAATTTCGTCTAAAGGTTTTCATTTTTGGCTCTATTGGTCATTACAAACCGATATATAAATGTGGACCTGATGATTATGATACACCAATTTTAATTTATTTCAACAATAATCATTTTGATGGTGTACGCAAAGGATCAAGTTTATTTGGAACACATTATTGTTTAACTTGTGAAATACCATATGATCGGGCAGATAGACATTTAAATATATGTAAATCGAGATGTATCAAATGTTCTAGAGTTGGGCCTCTTTTTCCATGTGAACCACAACAGAATTTTAAGAAATATTGTAACTATTGCAACAAATTGTTTAATAATAAAGAATGTTTTCAATATCACAAAAACCATCGATTTTGCCAAAAATCTAAACAGTGTGAGCTTTGTGGAGTCATCTGGGATGTTGAGGACAATACAAGAAATGGCAGAGAAGGTCATGTTTGTTTTGAAAGGTTTTGTAACACGTGCTTCAAATATCATGACGCTAAGAAAGGATGTTTTATCAAACAGCTACAACCAAGAGATCAAAAGCCCTATAGAATACTAGCATTTGATCTAGAAACAATGCAGCACGAATATATTGATTCTTCGTCTAAAAATAGAAAACATATTGCTAATTTTATTTGTGCGAAAATCACATGTGCTCAGTGTATTTACAATGAAATCTGGAATCAAACCCTGTTAGAAAAACCATGCAAAGTCTGTGGTCCCCACCGAACAATCACCTTTTCTCAGAGGAATTTTAATGATACAATTGTGGACAAAAAAGTTATAAATAATCAACCATTGACAGCTTTTGTAAAATGGATATTGTATGAACTACCAATAGAATATGACACAGTAGCATATTCTCATTTTGGGGGAAGATTTGATATGGTTTTAGTCTTCAGAGAGATATTTTTGGAAATCCTGAGATGATAAGAAGAGGAAATAAAATGTACGAAATGAAAGTGAAAAGAAGACCGAAAGTTAATCCAAATATTATCTTCAGAGACTCTTTTAATTTAATTCCAACTTCTTTGGCAGCATTGGTCCCAACATTTGGCCTTGAAGTTGAGGATAAGCCATTTTTTCCTCATTTGGCAAACAAACCAGAAAATTATGGA